AATTCTAAGGCATCTAGTTGGTAATTTATAGGTGTTACCTTCAACTGGTTTCCACAACGATGAGGCTGCGAATGATAGCTTTTTTTCACAATTTGAATCAGGAATTGTTATACCTAGTAGCAACGATGGGCACTTGTTTAATGCGAAAGCAGTGGAGTCAAACTCGACTCATAAAACTTTAACAGAACTTAGTGCTGTAGAATTCTCTGGTAACAGTTCGCATATAGACTTGACGCCGATTAAAGGCACAAGCAACTTGCCAGAAGACGTTCGCCATTCTTTCGAAATGATGATGCAGCAGAACAGTGTAGACTACTGCCGCAATTTTGAACAGTTGATTACGTCAATTGAAACCCCAAAGAAGTTGCCATAAATTTCCATTCCCTTTATAACTGTATGCTGGGTCCGTCGTTGGATTTTGCTGGGTGTAACTGACGGGTGTGCCATGTGTGGCAGGAAAGTGTCATAGTGGCCTTTTTAGATACTGCTGAGTTTCGTTGTATATATCTGTATATATGTGCTCATTTTGTATTGAAAGATGTCTTTTTACATACCATTGTTTGAATGCATTACATTCTGCTGGAATATTGTTTAGTGATCGTTACTATATTTGCTAAAGGTTTCTAAATAGAACTTCGTTTTATACCATCTTACCTCAACAGTTTTTAATGCAAGATTTGTGGTGTAAAGCTGTTAATATGTCAGAGGTTTATCTTATATGATTTACAATCTCATTTTAAGACTGGATTCAGTGTTGTCATTTTTTCGTCACATTCTTAGTTTAACTACTGATAGCCTTATTGTCTTATAGAAGTTGTAAAAACTTGGTAATGTTCTTTTAAATGCTGAATATGTCTTATGGTGGTTTTATGATGTAAAGCGAGGTGAATGGGCCGTGGGTTGTTCGGCAACATAAATTTTTTAAATAGTTACCCCGGAGAAGGCTGGCGTAGTCACGCTTTTGAAAATACAAAGCATTTGAAACTTTGGTATGCTGTATCTAGCTGGCGTTCAGGGTAGTGTTGACTTCTGGATTTGAAGGGTGTTTTTTTGAGAATTTTGGTAGAAAACTTCGCAGTTTTGTCTCTACAAGATGAAGCATTCCATTCCCGTGTTACTAGCAGTGATGGGTTAATGTCTTTTAAGGGTTCTCCAAATGCATCGTGGCTTTATAAGGTCATATGGGTTGCTGCGACAACTGCGTCGTGTGCCGCGTGCAGTACCATACGCTGCTGTTGCAAGTAGAATTCCAACGTGTTCTGTTTCCCAGAATGTCTGCAGGCATTACGTTGGTGACGCTGCACAGTTAGCGAAGAATGTGGAGAAATTTGAATTCCAAGCAGAAACGAAAAATTTGTTAGATATAGTTGCGAAGTCACTGTATTCGGATCAAGAAGTTTGTCCAGTTCAAAATATTTGTTTCGAAGCTAAAGACTAGATTAGGTTACTGATCAGGTCTCGTCCGTTTCACTTTCGAAGCGGTGATTTTAACAAAGACCGTGATCGCTAGTAAGGTATAGGTGGCAATTAAGTCACTGTCCATTCTTGTTTAAAGGTTTTATTTCGACATTTCCGCTATTTAGGTTTTTATCCGCGAGCTAGTTTCAAATGCCAGTGACGCTTTGGAAAAGAGAAGATGTGCTCATTTAACGGAAGGTGGTGATTCGAATATTGCTTATGAAATTAAGATAACAACAGATGAGAAAGCCCGTATGATAACTTTTGAAGACAATGGAATTGGCATGGATAGAGGCGACCTAATGAAGTGTCTTGGCACAATTGCTAAATCAGGTTATCCAAATCATATTTTACCATTTTTTGGTTAATCAGTTTATTTCTGTACATCATTTTCTTTTACTTCAAGCAGTTGGTCTGGGCCCAGGTAACTGATGAAAGTTTACAGGGTCGAAAGAATTTGTTGAGGAACAGAAAAAGACCGAAGGAACTGGTGCAGCCAGTGCAGAATCAATTATTGGACAGTTCGGTGTTGGATTTTACTCTGCCTTTATGGTAGCTGATGAAGTGACTGTATCAACAAAAAAGGAGGGGTCAGATATTGGTTACATTTGGAGGTGGAATGGGTTGGTTGTTTTTTCATTGTTTCTTTTACTTAGCTACTGTGGTCTTTTACTGCATGACATTTAAGCTCAAATAATTTTTAATTTCTAGCTCGGATACTTATTCTATACAAGAAGACAGCTCGCTTCCAATTGGTACTCGCGTTCAAGTTGCTCTGAAACCCGGTGATGCAGCTGAGTTTGCTAAACAGCAAAGAGTTATTGATGTAATTAATAAGGTACCCAGTTCAGTGCAATTCGCCTTACGCTGTTCGTTGCTTACTTTGCGTTTCTTTACAGTACTCTTATTTTATCACATTGCCAATTACCGTAAATGGAGAGCGCGTGAACACGTTAAACGCTATTTGGACAATGAATCCAAAGGAGGTCACGCCAGAAATGCACGAAACCTTCTTTCGACAGCTAGCAAAAACCCATATTCCTCATCTAGCTGGTGACCGGCCTCAGTACACTATTCATTATAAGGTTTTTTGTAAAATATCTGTTTTTTGCTCAGATGGAGATTCCATCTTTTTTTTCTGAAATTTTTTCTCAGTTTCTGTGTTCAACAATTAATAATGCTTGATTATATAAACTTTTTTATTTTCTTTTTTTTGGAGGCTTCATTTGTCTGAAGAATTTTTTTACTCTAGGCCGATGCACCAATAAGCATTCGTGCTCTTCTTTACGTGCCGTCGCACAACGTTTCTCACCTTGAGTTCGCTACTGACTCAACAGAATCAGGAGTGTCACTTTATGCACGAAGGGTCCTTATCAAGGTTTTTAAATATTTTGTTAGTCCTACAGAGATCGTAATTTTAAATTTGTGTTGAAAGTACATTTTTGTAGGCAAATGCGAAAGAACTGTTGCCTCGTTACATGCGATTCTTAGTGGGTGTTGTTGATTCTGAAGATGTTCCCCTCAATCTTAGCAGAGAAATGTTGCAAATGGATGCTGTGTTAATGTGCGTTATATTTATCTCTTTATACTGTGAACACTCCTGGAATGTCGTTGTTGCGCCTGCACGTTGTATTTGTTACCTAAGATTATTTATTAATCTTTTGTACAGTTTAGTGGCGAAGAACTCTATGATTAGTTTCATTTCTTTACCACTCAGACTGTGGCTTTTCAGGAAGTTAAGGCGTACTTTAACAGATAAAATAGTCTCATTCTTTATCTCGCAGATGAAAAAAGATCGAGTAAAATATTCTGACTTTTATAAAGGATATTCTCTGTATTTTAAAGAAGGGATATGCATCGAGCACGACCAGAGCGTTAAGGTATACGTTTAAGAAGCTACGAAGTCTGATCTTTCTCAAAACTAATGCATTAAACTTTTTAGAACTAACTTATTCATATTCTCAAAGCGTTTTTTACTATAAAAAAGCAGTTATACAGTATCTGTCTCTGTGTAGGAACAGATAGCCTCGTTACTGATGTTTGAGTCTTCTAATCTAAAACCTGGTGTGAAAACAAGCTTAAATGAGTACGTCGAGCGTATGCAAGAAAATCAGACTGAAATTTTCTATCTTTTTGCTCCGAAGTGGGTTTATTCAGTTTGTTTTGCAAAATGTTGTTTTCTTTTTTGATTCTTTTTTGAAATTGGTACGTTCACTTTTACTCTCTGAGAAGCCAAAAGTTCTCACATCTTGTTTTTAGCCGACAGTTGGCTGAAAACTCACCGTACTTTGAAATGTTCAAGTCTCAAAATCGTGAGGTTTTGTTTGCGTACGATGCCGCTGATGAGGTTGTTTTTCTTTCATTGCCGCAGTACAAAATGAAACAGTTAAAGTCTGTTGACCACTGGGCTCAGTCATACGAGGGAAGCGAAGCGTCGACGTCAGGTTTTTCATTTAATTTATTGTGAAATTTTTATTATTTATATATAAATTCTGCTTCCAGCAACGTCGGTTAGAGATGTGGACAAGAAAGAATTACTTGATTGGATGAAGTCTACTTTGGGTAGTGTCAAAGTTCATGATATCAAGGTACTTGAATTGCTTTATGCGGGTAATGGTTTGTTTTACTCTTAAATTTTTGTTCTTAAATCTCCTAATCTTCAGGGTTCACATAGGGTTAGCGAACATCCCTGTGTGCTGAATGTACGAGCGGAACCGGGGATGGCTCGCCATTTGCTGCGTATAGGACAGGTTAAAGAAATGGAACATCTTGTCTTTCTACAGCCGACACTAAATGTTAATCTTTCACATCCCATAATTTCTGCGCTTGTGTCGCTGCATAAAACGAAACCTGATTTGGCTCAACTAGTTTTGGAACAGGTAACAGTTACAGTCAAAGCATTAACTTGATACACTCGTGGTTTCGCAGTCGCAGTGAATTTTTTAAGTTTTCATTTTTCTCAAGTAAAATATACTTATTCGGAATTACTGTTTCTTTTGTAATTACTGCTTTATTTTGCCGGAGAATTTGTAAGGGTTGGTAAATCAAGGGGAGTAATTTTTTGATAATAATTTATAATATATGTTGCTATCAGGCATCCAAATAGTTCCTAAGTTCTTTGCTTTTTCTAATTTAGATATATGACAATGCATTAGTTACTTGTGGTTTACTGAAGGATCCAAGCAATATGATTGAACGGGTTAACCGGCTGCTAAGTGATCTTCTCAAACCAGAAGGGAGGACAACTATTCTGACGCCATAACTTTTATTGTTCTTATTATTGTTTTCTGTCTTTTGTTATTCAAGTGTGCCATCAAAATAACATAATAATAAATTTCTATTTTGTTGAATCTTTTAGTAATCGTGCGTCTTCTTCGCTTTAAAGGTATTATAATTTACGCATCGCCTGTTTAATTTCGCAGAAGAGATCTAAATGCCTCAAAGTACTCATTATCTTCGCTTGTCTATTGGGTTTGATAGCAGTTGTGGTAGGGATACGGAAGAGCGTTTTTGTAAGGACGGTAGTAACTTGTGTAGTTTCTCTCAAGCTCTTGCCGCAATGGAACAGAGTCGATAAATACACCCGGAGGCAGAAGATACCATTGTTTAATTTTTATATATATTCCAATTACGAATTGATTTATTTATTACCAGACTTGGCGAGCAGTTGAGGAATGCAAGCTCTGCTGCAAGTTTATGAAGAGATGCCGCCCATAACGCGGGCATACACTACGGCTTGTGTTTTAACAACAGTTACAGTTGTAAGTTGTCAACTCATTCAGATAAAGTTTGTTACCGTTTGTGTTACCGTTTAATAAAACTTACGAGAGATGGTGAGACTTTTTTGGCGGTATTCTGCGTTACGTCTTTCTAGTTTATTGGACTTTTTTCAGCAGTTGGACCTTGTTACGCCATTTCATTTGTACTTCAACTGGCATTTGATATTGCATGAATACCAGGTAGGTACTTATTCCCCAAAAAACTTTTGGTTTGGTAATTTAAAATTTGGGCTTGTGCTGTTTGTTGAAGGAACTAGTGAGACGAAGGAGGGAGCTTCTTATTTATACAGGACCAAAAATTTCAGGTGTGGAGGCTAGTTACCTCATTTTTGTTTTTTGGATCATTCGGGTTTAATTTCCTCTTCAATATGATATTTACTTATCGCTATTGCATGATGCTGGAAGAAGGTTCATTTCATGGGCGTAGAGCAGATTTTGCTTATTTGTTTCTCTATGGAGCTGCTTTTATGGTAATCACGGTTTAGTGACATTTAGATATAGTACATGCAACTTTTTACAAGGTTTTTTGCCAAAAAATTTTTTGTTTTCAGATCATCTGCAGCACTTTCGTACATATGGAGTTCTTGGGCCAGGCGTTTACAATCATGCTTGTTTACATATGGAGTCGTAGAAACCCTTTAATTCGCATCAATTTCTTTGGAGTTCTTAGTTTTAATGCTCCATATTTACCTTGGGTTTTATTATTGTTTTCATTACTTCTTGGCAACAATGCCATAATCGACTTTATGGGTAATTTTTCTAAGTATTTTTTCTCCAAATAAATAATTCTTTACCACCTTCATTTATTAATAAAGTTTTTCCATTTTCTGCTATGATATAATTTAGGTATCGCTTGTGGTCATTTTTACTATTTCCTCGAAGATGTCTTCCCTCAAGAGCAAAATGGCTTTAGAATACTAGAGACTCCAGATTTTCTTAAATGGTTGTTGAATCCAGCTCCTGAAGTATCTATGGAACCGGACGAGAGGCCAGGGGGTCACTTGTGGGGCGAGAGAGCGCCACAGTAAATCTTATGCATTGCCGAGGAAATTAAAGCTATTTTGTCTCGGGATAAATTGGATGGACCTATGACTTTATCTCGGATTAACCAGCAACATATCCTGTGTTGGATTTCTCAAAGAAGGAATTGTTTTTCACTTTTATAAGAGGATTTTTTTTTGAAAAGTAAGTTTTTTGAAGGATGAATGTTTCTTCAGGAGTAATTCTACTCCGTTCAAAATCTTGTTTTATCATAATATTCTTGCAAAATTGTTATAAATATTTCAAGATGATGAAGCATTCAATCGCTTCAAGCTTCGAATTTGCCATAAGGTGATAAACTTTATCTGTTCATTCAACTTGCCTCTCACTGTAGTTGTTAACCTGTAGAGAGTTCTTACAGTTTTCTAAATTTTTCAGCAGTTTTCAGTTTTCAAGATATTTATAAAGGAAATCTGCATTACACGTAGTAATTTTCACAGACTTATGCTGGAACTGAACATTTCATTAATGGTTTGCTTAACAGTAATTGGTACCTGTCTGTCTATATTTTAATGTAAAATTTGACAAGAGCAGAAAGTTCTATTGTTTCTGATGGCTTAGTTTAGAAAGCTACTTGTGATACTGTTTTCGCAATAGGTTTTCTTGCGTTCAACATTATGCTTTCACTCGACAAAGGTTTAGATGTGCTGTGTTCGTTAATACTGTTCTAATGTCTTCGTATAATTTTCCTTCCGATTTTTGCTGTGGGAAGTTGTAGGTTGTCGAATATTGTTAAGCAACCTGGTTAACTTATTAGTTTTTTACTATTTAAGACAGAAAGAAATTCATGAAGTTTTACAGAATGTTTCAGAAAAAATTTTAAAGGAAGTAAGGTATTCTTTTGAGGGTTCTCATTTAGTACTTTATAATTTTTCCCATTATTTTTTTTTTCGCTTTTTGAATTTTGAGCAGGTTTCTTCAAAAGAATTTGATAGTCGTTTTCTTTGTTTTTTGTTTAGTGGAAAATGATATGTCAGCAGAATGACTGTTAAGTGAAACCGGAGTGCAGTAGACAGAAATTACTGCAACGTGTTGGGGAGATGGTAATGCTTGAATTTTGGCAAATTCATAAATGGTGTTATTTGGAAGTTAACCGTTGTACGATAATACAGAAGTGTTTATGTGTGTTATGAAACTTGTGGTTTATTCTGTTTGGTTCTTCCTTTTCTTATTCTTTTGTTTACTCTGTTGTTTTTTATTGATATTTAGAGGAAGCTAAACGGTTTTTTCAAGATACAGTCATTACAATAGATTAGATGTCTTTGTTGATCGGTGATGATATTACAAATGATGTTGCATATGTCGTCGATGATGATTTGCGCTTTTTGTGTTGGTATTTCCTCGCCGCTGTTTGCCTGTTTTTTCTTTTATTTACCTTTTTTTTTTTTTTGATTTTTTCAATTTCTTTGTATGTTCGTTTTGCAATCATTAAGTCGGGCTTATTGTTTTTTTTCTTTGGTCTGTCAGTTTATTTTTGGAGCAAAACTTGTTTAAACCGCTGAATCATTCGTGTAACTGTTTTTTAAGTAATGGGACAAGATCATAAGATGGAGTCTTGTTTTTTTTCTTATTGTCTTCGTTTTTCTTATGTGATTTGTGATGCTGTCAATGTAAGTTCACACCAACTTCTTTCGTTTTGACAGCATTTTTGTTTCTAAATGATGGTCTTCAAATTCATCCACACTCAGATGTGCATCTGTCTTTGTTCTACAGTGTTCAATCAATTTTTTTCAGTGTAGTAGAGAAAACGGGGATTCTGCTCACCGTTTGTTAAGTGTTCTTTTT